TGCTGCCCCCCCTCTTTATCATCCTCCTCCTCCTCCTCCTCCCTCCTGCACCCTCCTCCGCCTCCTCCTCCTCCTCCTCCTCCTCCTCCTCCTCCTCAAGGCAGAGAGCCGAGGGCCCGATACGCCAACGACAGGGGCCGGGCGAGGACCGAAGAAAGAAGAGGCGACCGAGGGCCAAGGCCGAGCGACGAGAGGCGAGGAGAGAGGCGTTCTTTTTTGTTTGTTTGTTGTTTTTTTTTGTTTTTTGTTTGGTTGTGTGTTTTTTTGTTTTATATATATATATATATATTCTCTGCTGATTGTATCTATATCTATATCTATATCTATATATAATAATAAAGTTGTCCAACGGCCGTGAGCAAGCAAGCAAGCTCCTTCTCCTCCTTCTCCTCGCGCATCGCGCGCACTGCAGCTGGAGAACCGGAGCGGCGCGCGCGCGCCGCCGCGCCGCCCGTCAGCGTCGAGGACCCTTTCGCCCTGGAGATCCCACGATGGGGATCCCCCGAGAAACGAGAAGAGGTTGGGGAGACTTCTTCGTGTGTCAGGTTCCGTCAGTCATCTGGAAAAAGACAGTCACCACCCACCAAACCACCCCAACCCAACCCGAAGGCTCAGATTTACCCTCGATTTCCAGTGCGGGGGCGGGGTCGGGAAACATCGAAAAAAACACATGTGGAACCCTTACCCCCCCCCAACCCGAAATTCGGGTCTTCGGGTCGGGTTGGGGTGGTCTGGGAGGTAGTCAGACAGGCACCCCTCAGCACAAGCGCTGTGCTGGCACCCCGCCGCAGCTTTGAGGCTGGAGGGCGGCGGGCCCTGCTCGAAGCGTGGCTCTCGCTGCAGCGCCGCGCGTTCGTTCGCTCGAGAAGCGCCTGCGGCAGCTGCGAGGGCGGAGGGGGGGCGGGGTGTCCGGCAGGGGGGCTCTCTGGCCCTCGCGCCGAGCACACTCGTTCGACAGGCCTGCGGCCGTGTCACGGGCGGAGGGCGGACCCCTTTGAAAGCGTGGCGCTCGCCGCAGCGTCGCATGCATGCAGTCGTTTTTAGAAGCCTGCAGCGCCTGCGAGGATGGAGGGCGGCTCCTTCTTTTTAGCGTGTAGCGCGCCTCGTTTGGGGAAAGTTGTGGGCAGCTTCGGGGGTTCGTGTGGTGGAAGTCCCAGGAGCAGTGTTCTGGCACGGGCTTGGGTTGCCAGGACGAAGCGGTTCCGTCGATTCGCGGTGTGGAAGTCCCAGGGGTGGTGCTTCGGCGCGCATGAGGATTGTCAGGACGCAGCAGTCACGCTGATTCGCGGCGTTGAAGTCCCAGGAACGGTGTCTTGGTAAGACTGGCGATTCCCAGACGATCTCTTCCAATGAGGCGCACTCCCCGCAATGGATTCCAATTTAAGCAGTGGCCCATGAAAGGGAACTTGGAGGAAGGGTGCATTACAACATCGTTGATGCGTCTTGGGTTTACGCTGGTCCTCCTCCTTCCTCCTTCTCCTCCCTCTCTCCCTTTTTTCCCTCCTCATCATCACCCTCCTGCTCCTCACACTCCCCTTTTTGCGGCACCGTCTTGTCTCGACTGATGTGCTGAGGACATTTCTAGGCCTGGGCAGGCTACCGGCGAGAGAAACCGGAAGGCCGGACGGAAGATACCATGGCCCCCGCCATGATATCCACCCCCCTACGGTAGGTTTGCGTCGTGTCGACCAGCGGCGACCCCAGCGCGGGCGTTCAAGGTTGAACGCCGCCGGCGACCCAGAATCAAATCGATGTTGAACGATGGGACGTTGCGGCAGCGGCTGATCGTTCAAGGTTGAACGATCCCTGCGGTGTCAAAAACCAACGCTGGGGTCGGCACGGCACGAACCTGCCGTAGTCATCACCCCCCCTCCTTGCCGCCCCCGACGACGGTGCGGTTTGTGTTTGAACCCGGGCAAAGTTGCCTCGAGTTCGGACTCCGGGGCCCGCTGTCGGGCCCCAGGACCATCAAGACCACTCTGTGTCGACACTGCTTCGACACTCTTTCGACACTCTTTCCGGGTGCTCGAAATTGTTTCCGGGATGCGGTCCTGAAGTGCGATGGGGACAACACAAACAACGATGCAAGGGTACTCCAGATTTCGTAATAAAGGGAGGGGATCCTCATTTCGGGGGGGGGTCTCTTCCAGGCTATCTTGGAGGGCCTGGGGGTCTGGGGACGATGTTTTGGAGGGTTCTCCCACGGGGGGGGGGGGTGTGGTCTCTGAAATGGCTTGTCTTGGGGGTCCAGGGGCCCCCCTCCTATTTTATTTCGAGAGTGGAGATCCTTGGGA